CAAACATTTCATTGAAATTACAGTAAGGAAATGTAAGGAAAAGAAACGTAATACTCTTATTTGTCCAAAGTAATATTTTTTTAATGTCCTAAATATTTTAATTTTTTACTTAATTATAAGGAAAGATTTAATAACCAAAATTTTAGTTGAATTTAAATTCTTAAATATTAGAAAAATAACTAAATTACGATCTAATATAAAGTTTATTTTTAAAAGATAGAAAAGACGAACGATATTCGGTAAGGACATTCTTTAGAATACGTGCGTCGGTACGGAGTTGCGTCAGCTGTGGATATAGACTAACGTGTACGAAATTTGGAGAAAAAATATACAAAGATTATTAACTATGTGATGAATTATAAAATAAAATTTTTAAAACGTACAAGCTCTTAAAAAATATTAACTATTGATCCTATTTAGCAAACTTAATAAAGAAAAAAACTATATCAAGCAAACGTTTACTAATACCTTACATAACTTCTGATATATGAATTGTGCAATTGTTTTAATAGCTCAAATAAAGTAAAATAAATGTTGACTTGTATGCAACTATACTTTCTCATAGCCTTAAATAAACAAATTCTATTTGCTCAAAGTACTTAATATAAATTTCATGTTATTCTTATTAAACTCAAATTAAAACGAAAAACAGTGAGACACTCCATATTGTTCGATATAATTATCATACTAAGAATTTATATAGATTAGTAATAATAAATCCAACAAAATTTATCTCTAGAAAGAAATAAAATGATCAAATTAAAATATTATGATATAAGTTAAAATTTGCTTAAACATTATTTATATTGCTAGTGTACTCAAAATAAGTTAAATTATTTATTTGTTAGAGTATTATTTTGCTGTTAAATTCTGATGTAGGATTAAGTTTTGGGGTACAAATCCAGAGTCAAACACCGGAAGACAACTCTTAAACAAAAAATTATAATTTCAGGTTCTAATTAATTAGTATAAAAAAATATGCCTGTAAATTTTTATTTCGGCGATATACCCTAAATTTATAAAATGTATGTCTTTGCATATCACACTTGTAAAAGTTCCCCAAAAAGAATTTAAATGTTTTGCTTTGTTAGGAATCTTCCTTAAAAGTCTATATGCGTGCACAACTACATGCGTAGCTAAATTTTGTGTTTTTAAAGTTCTAAAAATTAGAATTGTTTATATTATTAGGAAAGATTTAATAACAAAAATTATAGTTGATTTCAAATTTTCAATATCCTACAACAACAACAACAATATACCCAGTATTTATCCCACACCGTGGGGTCTGGGAAGGGTAGTGTGTACGCAGACCTTACCCCTACCTTGTGAGGATAGAGAGACTGTTTCTAATAGACCCTCGGCTCAAGATAGTATAAATACCACATTAATAAAAATATAGGCAAGAAGAGACAATATCAAAAAACCATATAAAAGCAGAATAACACAACAAGACAGTAAAGTGATCAGCAATGAAAGAAAACAATGGTTAGTCATAGAAACCTACTACCAACAGAAAATGAGACTGCGTGCCAATACTAAAGTTACGAACACTCTACACTACCTACTCTACTACTCTAATTCTCGACCTCCATACCTTCCTATCAAGAGTTATGTCCTCGGTCAGCTGAAGTTGCGCCATGTCTTGCCTAATCACTTCTCCCCACCTCTTCTTTGGCCTACCTCTACCTCTCCGTAGGCCCTCCAATGTCAACCTCTCACACCTCTTCACTAGGGCATTTGTGCTCCTCCTCCTCCCATGACCAAACATCCTAAATTTTAGGAAAAATAATCAAATTACTATTTTGTGTGAACTTTATTTTTAAAGAATAAAAAAAAAAGGCTAACTGTTATGAAACAATAAAAGAACACGACGAGGTTGGTCCCTCTTTTAGTAGACTCAGCTATGAATATTCATGAAGAAATGAATGCCCAGCTCTCAAGAAGAGTATTGCAGAGAAAAGTAGAGGGAGAGGATTCTTATTGAATTTTGGGATGATTTACAATAGGGTAAGACCCCTCTATTTATAGGGAGAGAGTGACTATGAACCCTAGAATCTCTCTAAATATAGACATTCACCATAAATACAATTCTATTTATAACACTCCCCCTTGAATGTCTAATCAACAGATAATATGCCTCGTTAAAACCTTAACTAAAATAAAACCCAGTGGGAAAAAATTCTAGAGAAGGAAAAAGAGTACACATATCTAACAATACGCCTTTTGGTTGCCTCGTTAAAAACCTTGCAAGGAAAACCCAGTGGGACAAAACCTTGTAAGGGAAAAAGAGTACAACGCGTATTAACTCCCCCTGATGAGAGCATCAATTCACATCCTTAAGCATTTGAATTCCAATCTTGTGCACCATCTTCAAAAGATCTTTGGTAGAGATTTGATGAACAAAAATCAGCCAAAACTTGAATGAATATATTGCACCTTGAAATCATCATTCTTGATAGAGATGAATTGTCTTCATATGATCTTGTTGGAATCGTCAGTTCAATATCTTCATATAGAGGTGAAAACTCTTGCTATCATATTATCATGCATATAGTTATAGCAAGATACATTTGTGCACAAATTGCACTGAGGATGTAGTACTTCATGACCATGAATCCTATATGCTTTAAGCAATTTAAATCCTTCAAGGATTTAATAGGAGCATTTGCAATGAGAATATAGTTACTTTCTTTGGGTCAGCAAATGCGTCTGGCATGCTTTGCAATAAATTGCACATGAATTATCCTTTTATGAACTTCAAGTTCATATTATTTTATTCGAGGATCTAGATGTATAAATGATAATTCATTCCACGTAACTTTTTCTCAACTGTTTATCATGTCTCCCCCTCATGTTAGAAAAACTAACTTGTTTTCTCAACTTTGAGAACTCATCTTTATGCGTTATGGTGTTAATCAAAATATACACCGCACATCAATAATAATGAGATAGAATTATTTGGTTCCTGACCCTGAAACCACTTGTGAGGGGAGAATGTAATATACTTTCGTATATAACCTATATCAAACTGATATAGATAACTTTGTTCTCATAAGCAATAGTTTATCTATTAAGTGGAGACACTCAATAAATTATTTTGCTAAACCAACTGTGATGTAAACCAACTTATCAAGAAGAACTATCTTGAATAAAAAATCTGGAAATTATGCTCTATATTAAATTATTGAGCAAGTTACCTCGCAAACACCAGGTTGCGGGTCAATAATAATTGCACATGTAACCATCTCATATATGCATCTTATGTGGTATACATGGCAGGTGAATGGGCCCGTATTCACCTTTGATATTTTCAGTATTTATGGGATTCAATCCCAATTTTAATTGGTCTATTAATTAATGAGAACAAGCAATGTAAGAGAATTCGTAAAGAACTTTCTAGTTCTTTAATATTTACCCATGTGAATTCTCTTTTATTTTTGCACATCATACTTGAATTAATATGGCTAAACCAATTATGCCAACTGGATAAATTATCAATATTGATAAACTTCAGGTTTACACCATGATGTGTGCAATTATGAATAAACTCAAAGTTTATTATGATATGGGTTTTTATATCAATAAACATCCACTTTATTGTGGTATTCTTTTATTTGTGCAGTACAAACTGGAGAATAAAGCGGGTATCTTTTACATACATATTGCTCCGCTACAAATTGTAGTAATAGAAGATATTAAATCTTTCCTTTATTTATAGTCTCAATATAATCAACCGCTTTCGCGTATACTTTGGAAACTGAATAAGTTTCTCTGAGACTTACTACAACACAATATCTTATTGGTAATTAATTGTGTTTCTCCAAAATAGTATAATTGGCTCTTGCAGAGTTCTCAATTATTTTTGTAGTACCACATATTCATCAACACCCATATGGTGAATATTTCTTTTAAAGAGAAAGTTATACCATTGTGGTTATGGTCAAAATTATATGCAAGATCTGTTTCTTGCATTACCGTTGACTTTTAATAATCACAATGCCAAAATATTTTGGCGTACAATAGGTACGTGACCAATGACCATTCATGCCATAATAATGATATTGTTTTCTTATATCATCTCAAACCTCCTTCTAGAGGTGAGTGTGGTATATACCACTAGCACGCTCATATTCTTCCAAAAATGAATATGTATTCTTAAATCAGATGTTGTCACATTCACATCATGAATAGACCATAATCATCTACATGTGCTTTATAAAATCTCATGTCAAATCGATAACAAATATTTTCACAAGTGGGGGATTATTTTGAGAATCCTTATTATTCTCATTATCACAATGATGACGATTATAATTTTGTCTATTGACACGTCCACATCCATTGATACATTCATTGTGATAATTTTGTCTTCTTTCAGACTTATCACATACTGCTATCACATTCTCTTAAGGGAATGAGAATGGAGCAAATTCAATGGGACGGGTTTCCACTTTTTGCCCATAATCATACATGAATTTGATCATGGCAAGACATAGAAACTTTTACCACTTCAGGTGATTATAATTTCTTACAAACTCCATTAGAGTTATAATCAAACTTTGTTGTCTTTGCTTGTATATAAAATCAAAGTATAGAATAAAAGAGAAAAATACGGTAAAATACTTACCTTAAATCCAGAATTTAATCATGAAGGAAGTTCATGGAATAATTGACAATCATTATGCTCAATCCCAAAGCTTCTACTCAATTGGTTAGAGTCTCGTGCTGATAACGTGTTATGAAACAATAAAAGAACAAGAAGAGTATTGCAGAAAAAAGTAGAGGGAGAGGATTCTTATTGAATTTTAGAATGATTTACAATAGGGTAAGACCCCTCTATTTATAGGGAGAGAGTGACTTAGCCACCAAACAATGAACCCTAGAATCTCTCTAAATATAGACATTCACCATAAATACAATTCTATTTATAACACTAACAACATAAAGAACATTATTAGTATATATATCATATAAACGAAACCGGTGGGTCCGCCCCTGATTCAGATGCCCAAACCGGTACCCCGCCCGCTTACCGTAAAGGGCTCACTAATTATTCTCATCGCTTCAGTCTGCAATCCATCCAAACCGCCGTCTTTTACCGGTCGCACGACGGCGTTCGCAGCCGGCGACTCTCTCCGCCGTCTTCAGCTCTTCCATTCCAAATTAACTGGGAAATGCAGCCCGTAAGTCCTCAAGTATTTCTAAAAGTCATTCAATACTCATTTTGTTTTCATTTGTCCTCATTATTTACCTTTTTTCAGCTATTAATTGTCTCGGAGGAATCTCAATTTCTTCTTCGAATACTGAATGGGAGTTTTCAAACGCTAGACTTCATCAAAGACCGCGTTTTTCACGCTTTTGCCGATTTATTCTGCTCGAAAGCGAATTTGGATGTTATCGACATTAGGTATGAGTATGCATTTTATCAACTCATTTTTGTTTCCAAAAAATTGATAATTTTTGTAATTTTATGTGTAGACAAGATAATGTAGTGCAAAGTGTGAATCGGGAGGAGCAAGGATCCAAAGATTGGTTGTCTAAGGGGAACGATTCGGATCAGGAAGGGGATTCAAGAGTGGGATTCAACGTGTTGGATGCGATGTTGAAGCATAGTCTGGATCGTCTGAAGAGTATGAGGTTTGTTCGAAACTTTGTCAGGAAGTTTTTTATTTTTTATTTAATTGTTGAATTAATAAGCTTGTTTTATAACTTTTTATTTAGAGACAGAAAAGAGTATTACCTTTTTATTGCCAATAAGGGCAAAAGTATCTTTTGTAGTGTTTTGATAATTGATGATTTCGAGTGGCATATGATTGGTTCTGTAGTTGATGATATCCATCCCGTGGCTGTACATTGTTTCTTATTGAAGCTGAGCCTGGTTGGCTTCTTTTTCTTGTCCCTAATATTTGTGAAGGAAATTACGTGAATTTTGCAGGGAAAGAATATCCTCAGCGGAAGCAGGCATTAATAACTGCACCTTGGAAATAAATTTCAATAAAGATGCATATGTTATCAGAGCTATGTGTCTGGATGGTAAAATGGGGGCAGCTTTATCTCTTTGGTTCAACATGATACAGAATAGTATTGTCCCTGATGTTATCACACACAATTACCTCATCAATGGACTGTGCAAAAACTGTGAATTGGAGAAGGCAGAGTGGATAGTTAGAGGTATGTTATATAGGGGTCCTTCTCCCACTTGTGCTACGTACAACTCCTTAATAAGGGGTTATTGCCTCATGAATGACGTTGATAAAGCTCTAAGCACGTTTTCTACCATGACCAACCATGGGATTTTACCAAACAGAGTTACTTGTAACATCCTTGTTCATGCGCTTTGTAAGAAGGGTTTGTTGGAGGAGGCGAAAAAGCTTTTTCATAAATTACTAAGCAAAAATCATAACGGGAGGAGCTCAGATTTGATTACATCAACCATAATGATGGATGGTTGCTTTAAAAATGGAGATACTGATCAAGCTCTTGCTTTTTGGGAGAGGATGTTTAAAGAGGGTGTCCAAGTTGATAAAGTTTCTTACAATGTTGTTGTCCATGGATTCTGTTTGAGCCATGACGTGGGCACTGGATATAAGTATTGTTGTGAAATGCTAAAGCTTGGGTTCGTTCCAGATGTCTATTCTTACAACACTCTTGTTGGAGCACTTTGTAAAAAAGGAAAGACCAGTGATGCTTGTTATATCTACGATGTTATGACAAGAATGGGTGTCATCCCAGATCAAATTACATACAAAATGATAATTCAGGGCCTTTGTATTAACAGGGAAATTGATAGAGCCAATTGTTTTCTTGATTACATGTTAGAGAATTCCATTATACCCGAACCACTTGTTTGGAATGTTATAATTGATGGTTATGGAAGATTTGGAGATATACAAAAGGCTTCATATATTAGAGACAAAATGGTAGCATTTGGTGTTCTACCAAACATATATACATATAATGCATTAATTTATGCACAGATAAAGTCAGGAAATATTTTAGCAGCTCAGTCCTTGGAGAAGGAGATGCTTTTATATGGTCTTACCCCTGATTCAGTTACTTACAATTTGTTGATTGGTGCTGCTTGTAGTCTTGGCCTGATTCACTCAGCACTTCAGCTACATGACGAAATGTTGAGAAAAGGTTGTCAGCCAGATGTAATTACTTACAGCGAACTACTTAAGGTGTTTTGTCTACAAGGTATGATGAAAGAGGCAGACAAGCTCTTTGGGAAGTTACTGGCATCTGGTTTAGCTGTTGATCATGTTCCCTTTCTAATACTCATGAAAAGATACTGCAGACTGAGAGAATTTGATAAAGTCTTTGACCTTTACCAAAAGTGGTTAGTGACCATGCCCAGATGAGAATATCTCTCCAAGGGTTATTGTGAAGTTAAGGGCTACTCTATATGTATTTATACAAGAAGAGAAAGCTACTTCAGACTTTCGCACCTGGTTGGCTGGCAGATTTTAGGTCCAGAAGCATTGTCCTCGTAGCAGGAGTCGTCTTTGTCACCGGAGGTACCTTCATGCTGTCACCTTTGCCTTTTGTAATGCAATGTGATCTTGGTATAGATACATCCTCTGTCCCTCTTTCTGGCTTGTTTGATTGGGCAGTAAAGATTAAGCTAGTATGATTTATATTATTTATGTGATTACCTTCCCATAAAACATTTTTTCGGTCATCTCAATCTAACCTACTGTAAGAAGTGTGTCCAAAGCTGGGAAGAAAATTAATTTTCCCATGATTCTATACTGTATGAAAAGAAGAAAATTAACTTTCCAAGAATCTATACTATATTAAAAGCCCCTTATCAAAATGTCGTTTGCATTTTTTACCCTTTAAAAATATATTTCAAATTTGATAGAGTTGTAATTAATTTATATTTCTAATATTTAGGACTTTAAGATCAACTAAAATTTTGATTATTAAATCTTTCCTTATTGAACTAGGTTAGAGGTCCTAATTTTTTGGGATTATTAATCCGACCCCAATTTAAGTTATCCAAACGTATATATATGTTAACATTGTGCCTCAAGGTAGTCTCATTTTGATTTTTGTTAACCAAAAAGGTCTTCAAATCAACTAATTAGTTAAAATCCAATTTGATTCTTTTCCAATTCATCATATAAATGAGTTTCTTATATGAACAATGTAGTATAATTGCAATTCCTTACATGTTACAGTTACATATTTAAAACTTGGGATGACTTAATATTAAAAATTTGAATCAATAAAAAATAAGTTACTTCCTGTAATATGGAGAATAAATAATTAAGTTTTTGAATTAATTGATTAATTAGAAGCAGTGTTGTCAAAGGCAAAAGGCTCTAAAAAGTGCTCTAGGTCTATTTGGGCGCAAAGCGCACTTAAAGTGTGGGCTTTAGTTAAAAAAAGGCGCAATGAAGGAAATAAATAAAAGTTTATATGTGATTCAAGAACAAAGTAACATATTCATTCATAATGTTTCCCTTAGCAGCTAATACACTTATTTATGATTATAATTGTTGTTTAGTGCCGCTTGATTCAAGAGAGAATTCACGGGCAATGAGGTGCACGCATTAGTGCCTTGCCTTACACTGAAGCGCAACTAAAGCGAGGCGAAGCGCCCTCCTTGAGCTTTTCTGAGCTTTAGGGCTTAAGCGCGCCTTAAATGAGCCTTTGACAACACTGATTAGAAGAAGAGCCCAATTTGATTATTTTCTAGATTCTTCAAGTTGAAAAATCTCTTCGGATACCTAAATTTATTTCCATTAGAATAATATTGGTGGTGAAAGAAATAAGAAAAAAGAGCAAGAAATATAATAAGGATGAAGCAATAGAAGACAAAGTTTATAAATAACTTTATTATTTTCTTTTTCTTTTTCTTTTGCATTCATTCCAATAAATGACAATTCCCTTTTTTTTTTTTGACACATTAAGCTGTTTAGTCACTTTTAAATTTTACATCGTCACTTATCACTATTCTTCTAGGAGTTATAGGGACAACCTCTTAATTCCCAAATCCTTAAAGTTGTGTTATTTGACAAATCTTTGAAGAATCGTGATAAAGTATTTTTGTGTGTTACTTTTTTGTTTCAAGTATTAGGTCATAGCAATAATACCAATTTTCATAAGATATTCGCGCATAAGTCCTCAAAAATTATAATAAAACATCTAAGAACTTTTGTGGGGCAAAATTTCTTTCTTTTTAGAGTTTTCAAGACTTACACTTTTTTTTTTAATTTTTTTTTTATAACTCAAAGTTTTGGTCTGATAATATCTATGAATGTTTTAAAACTATGTAGGCATTGATATGGGTACACACGCAAAGCGCATACCCTAAGACTAGTATGCCAAAAATGGGTTCAATGTTTGATTTGTATACTTGGCTTGAAGCATTGTTATAATGTCATGAATTAATGAGTTTTGCTTATAATGTTGGTTTGAAAAGTATCACAGAACCGTGTTTTTTGCATCGTGAAACTTGTAAATTTCGTGTGCGCTTATTTTGTAGAAATGTGTCAGATTGGGTTTATCCAGAAAAGGAAATGTTTTGGAGAGTATTTCTGAAAGGCTTACTATTATTTCCTGAGACTGAATCTTCTTTGGAAACTAGCTCAGTTTTCTTTCAAAATTTACACATGTCAATTGCCAAATATTTTTAAGAAATGACCTTGCTTACATATTTCATCTCTCAAAAGAGAGAAGCACTGATCAATCCGAAAGTGAGCTTTTCAAGCCTAAATACATTCCATGCCAAACTAAAAATAAGTGGAAGCAGCCTTTCCTCCAAGAAGCGCCTTAATATTTTTGCAGTATAAACAAAAAATTAGATGCAATATATCCAGTTTGAAGATGATTAGCCACATCTATAGCCTCCACTTTTTTCCACCAGACTTGGCACCAGGTCCTCCTTTGTCCCATCCTTTGGTACATGAATTTTCCATTTCATGCCCAGTGTCTTTTGCCTGACTTGAAGCAGCACTTTCCTCCTACTTCTTCCCTTTCATTTCCTACACCAGGTGGTTTTCTAGCTGCACAGCTTTTTGTTTCTTCCAGAACTTTTAACCACCTTGTCAGGAACTCGAAGATACTTTATGGTATTGTCACGATTATAACATTCTGGCATTCTCCAAAATCCATTTCCATATGTACAACCAACATGAAGATAGATATTCATCCGAGTATCATAATCCACCAAATGCCCATCATATGTCTCCCCACCTTTTAGCTGCACCAACATGGGATGCCCCTGCTCAGTCTTGAGCAAAGAGATTGGAATCATTTTAGATGCGTGAAAATCCTAATTCAGCTTTGTCTTGCTGATCTTTGTCCTTTCGTCCACTTTCCTGGAACTACTGAAAAACGTAGGTTACTTCAAAAGTAGGTTAGCACTGTGTTGAGAGAGACGAGCTTCTGGTAAACTGAAATTTTTTCATTATGCGCTGCTACAGCTCTCTGAGACTGAAATTGCTCATCACTTCTGTATTTCTTAATTTGGATTATTCGAACAATTTGTAGGAGTATCCTTTATGATTATTCAGGTTCCTTTGTGTTTGATCTCCATATAGCTCCTACAGCTAGAAAATATTATTTTATTTGTTCCTAGTTCTCTGGTGAGAGAGCAGGAAGGAGTAGGATATCTTTTTCAGTGGAAAGTTGGAAGCTACCTTAGTTAGACTTACTTTTGATTTGTTTTCCATGTTTGCTCCTGCAAAAGTTAGCATTCACCGCTTGTATTAGAGCTAACAGTCATCTCTCTTTTGTATCTTTTGCTCCTTGTGCATCTTCTTGATGCCTTTTTAATGATAACATCTTACTTCATCAGGAAAAAAAGGTCAACATCCACCGGTTACTTGACTGAGGTTTTCAATTCAAACTCTATTGGCAGCATATCTCACCTCTAATTTCCAGAAGAATATTTGCTATCTATCTCTTTTACTATCTTTTGGACCTTCATTGCTAACAAAGCATAATTTGCTGTATTTATTGCCTACTGTAGTTTCCCAACATTTCTTCCCTCCCCCTTTTTCTGTATATGAAGCTAAAACCCTTGTTGCTATGCCGACACAATGCACAATAGGATGTCTGTAATTTTGGCATATATATCATGTGAATAGCTTTTCAATGCATGTAAATGATTTCAGTCTTAACCAAAATGAGGTGTTGCTTGTCCATTCTTTTGTGCTCTATTAACAAAGAAAAACAGAGAAAGGAAAAAAGCTCATCAGCAACTGGATCCTGGCTTTCTGATCTGAAAAAAAAGAGAGAAAGGTAGGCTGTAGAATTACTAAGTTATAATGCTTAGCAGGTGCCTTTTCTAGCAAACACAAGTGTGAAATGAGAACTAGGAATCGGGGATTCCTATACCATGTAGGGAAGAACAAAAGAGAAAGTTCTGATGTCCTAGAAGCTGCCTTAGTTGTGTCTGTTACACTCCTTGCTTTTGGGATTACGTATAAGAAAGAAGAAATATGATCCAAACCTCGGCAACTGCTCTTTATTTGTGATTACAGATAGGCTTTCTGCACTTCCTTGCATTAGTTTTCCTAGCTTCATCTTTTTTCTCCCGACAAATATGCTTTGCAACTAATTATGTTTCTGTGCAGGTGGAAGTGCATGCAGGGTGAAGCAGTAATTGCAGCTTCTGTCAAATTGTGCTGAAGATTGGTCAGTCCTCTACCAAGGAAATTCGTAATTAAAGGCTACTCGCTTTTCTTTTTTGGGGGTTATTTTTCCGTAGATCAGTAAAGTTAAGATTCTAAATCACATTGGCTGACCATGTTGTGCTTCTTTCCCTTTTGAGAGAAATTGTGATATTATAACTTTGTAGCTTCTCACTTTTTTTGGTGGTAATGTCAATCTTTAACCACTTAATCAGTTCTTTGCACTGAACTTTTGATGTAATTCATTCTTGAAATGACTTCTTAACTGTTAGAGGAGCTAAATACAACTCCAAATAGGAATTTCACTGTTACCAGCTTTGCTTCATACCACTTAATATGGATATAATCTGTATATTGGAAAAATAGTTTGAAGTCAGTTTCCCATGTTATATGCTGCCTTTTGTTTGTCAATACACTAATGCTGATTTGGATTTTTTTTTTCAGAATTGGCACCTTGTGAGTAGGCGTTCAAGTCCAGTGGAGATTATCAAGATGTACTGACCAGCAGAATTTGCTTTTTACTGCCAGGTAGGTCTTTAGTGCGTATTCCTCTGTGTTTCAGTAGAAGCTCAAACATGAAAGTTAAAGTAGTTTGAGCTCCTCATGATTACATGTTGCATTTGATAAACTCGTTAGTGGCAAAAGCTTGCGTGTGGCTGAAATTGGATGAAGTGAGTAAATATGAAGTATTTACTTCAACACTTTCAATTGTTTGATAGAGCTGGAATAGAATTAAATATATCCTCCCTCTGTGGATTGACAAAGTTGACTGGCTGGTAAAGCGTTCTGTTTCACTTTTACATCGGCACCTGCAGTAACTTATCCAAATGAGGGAAATACTGCTTATCCTTTTTATATTGTCCCTCTTGCAGCCCTTCTTTTCACCCCAACCAAACATATTTAAACTGGCATAATCTCTCTCATTGTGTTTTTGTTGATTCACACTGTTTTTCAAGTTTATTCTTCTAATTCCCCCTCCCCCCCTACCCCCCCCCCCCTCCTTTCCTTGCTCACTCTCTTTTTAATTTTATAAATCAGATAATTTCATTCGTGTTATGCCAATATGGTGGTATATACAATTTGGACACATGGCTTATCATATTTCTTCAATTATTCTTATCCAGTTGTATATACAGAAAGGAAGCTTTGTAAGATTTTTTACATTCCCCTGCTACTGCTCTGAGCTAAAAAATAACTTCCGATTTCTTTAAATTCAATTGTTTAACAAAGGCATAGTGGTTGTTTTCCAAGTGAATTTCCTTTCCTTGCTGATTCAGTGATTCTTCAGCCTGCAATTGTATCAGCTGCTGTTCTTGAGAGCACCTAGATGATGTTAAACTTGTCAAAAAATGACGGCTGCGAGGTGGTTGCAGTCCTAAAATGCAATACAAGTTGGTTTGTGTATCATTGTGGCATTGTTTACCCACAACACCAACTCACCGTAATTCTCCTCTATTCCTCAGATTATCAGCTATGACGATTGTATTCCATGCTGCACTGCGTGAAAACGCAACTTTCTTTGTCGCCTTGATGTTGCCTTCCACACTTTCCCTCGTTGCTTCCTTCAGTTAGTTTCATATAATAGGACTTCTCGGTGAAGCATATTGCTCTTACATCATCTTATCCATCCCCGTGCAGCTGTAAACTTTTTGCAAGAGCTCTTCATCTTTCGCTTCTGCTCTTTATATCTCATTATACCCCTTGATCATTTCTTCTCATAAGGTTTGACATCATTACCTCATTATCATGAGCAATGCATACATTGGTGTCACAAGTTAATCAGACAAGTAGAACTCATGGAGGTTCCGTTGATATCGATTGCAACAACAATCATTTCTAGGCTCAGAATCATTGTTAATTTACCCAGATTCTAGAAACCTATTGTTAAGGCTTGGATCACTTAAAACCTGTGCTCGTTAAAGAGTTTACACAGACATGAAAAATGACCAGAGGAAGACTCCCAGACCCACTCACAATTGCTGAATTCCCGAGGGTTCTTCTCGGGCCAAAAGTTGCCGGAGAAGGGTGAAACATCAAGCAACTAGCTTCTTGACGTTACAATATGAACTAGAGAAGAGGGTAAGGACATAGGAACAAAGGGAAGGGAAGAAGCCCAATACGACCACGCTTGAAGAAAGGGCATGATGACTATTCTCTTTTGACAATCAGGAGTGAAGAAGGTCACTAAGAAGGGTTTAAAAAAACTAAATAGTTTGGAATCCCAAATTCTTGCACAAAAAAGAATGGGAAGTTCAAAATTGGATAGAGTAATGAACGACTCGAACAAAATCCCGATCTTCAAGCCATCAATGAGGCTTTATTCTGGATTGTCCTATGGGGGATGGTGAAACATGAGAATGTCTGCACTAGAGGATACGTGGGTGCATGATCTTGCGATACGATTTGAGGAAGATTGGTAGGAATGATATTTATTCTACCTTCATATTAGTTTAAAAACCCTTACATCTTGAAAAAAGTATCTAGATTCAAAAAACTTGAGTAAAATATTTCTATAAAATTTTGGATAACAAATACTCTACTGCAATTGTGTCTGCTTAACCAGTGGTCAGGTTCAGCCCCACTCAGGGGGCAGGATCTCGGACTCTTCTTCCTTTCGTAATGTTTTTATGTCTATGATAAATTCTGAAAGCTCCATGATGATCGTTGTTTCTCCTAACAAATTCTTTCGTGCTGATATGAATCTTACAAGATTGAAACAATAACCAGTCTCAGGCTCTCAGCTATTGGTTTCTTGCTTTTTTCAACTCATTCTGCAGATGTAGGATTAGATATACTGTCTAATATGTGTCCCTTAAAAATGTTCTAAATCTTCATTGCAGCATTCAGAACTACATTACACAAATTGTGTCGTTCAGATAAGCACCCTCATACAAACCACAATACATTCTTTTAGTGCTAAGTGTTTTTGGCAATTCCCTTGGATTGAGGCATAGACTACATTTGACTTATGAATGCAAAATACTGCAGGCTGCCACTTCATCAAAATTCCCTCCCTTCACATTTTTCCCGACTCACTGCCCCCCTTCATAACTGATCGAGCATTCCAGCCACTTCAACTCATTTACCCAATTTGCACAGATTTCGCCGCCCTTGATTGTGAAATTTCTCCTGTAAAAGTATTTAATCTCAATACTACACACAGGATTATCAGATCAAACTTTTCAAAATTCACCTTTCTCTTTACAAATTCACTTGACATTGATAACTGATCCCTCTCCATAACTTATAGGCAAGTTTTCCCTTCTTTTGAAGTACCGTTGTTGCATGTTGGCGACCTTGATCTTCTGATCTTAATATGATTTTGTTTTTCCAACTCAGTATTTGCTATTTGAATCATCTAGAAACATTAAGGTATTTATCTTCACAACTGTGCAGGTATTAACGATGAGGAAAAGCCTTTATCTAATAAGCTGAAACGTTATTGGCGCGTTACTGGTGTATAAATTAAGAAAGCAGCTATAATGTTGGTGACATGCTAGTTAAATGCCGCAAGTCAGTTCACTCACCAAATACCAAAGGTGTTTCTGCCTTGAAGAGGGCATTAGGTGTTGGAATGCATGAAAGTAATGAGTCACTCCAATGCGCAGGCTGCATTCTTTGCGTTGTCTCCTTTCATATGCAAGTTATTTTGGGTGAGTGGTAATTAGACATATTCAAATAACCGTTATTTTGGGTGAGTGGTAATTAGACATATTCCAATGGTTATTTGAAACGGTAGGCTGATTATTAATTCTCTTATTGGATCCATATTCTTCCTTCCATCCCTGTTACTAATATTCAGTTTTCTGTGTTTTCCTCACAGATATGGTTGAGGAGTTTAAAGTTGTGTATTTCTGTCCAAATGAAAAGCCCCTGGCAGACTTTTATGTTAGAAAGGTGAAAGAATCTGAAAGTTCGAGGGTGAACCAATGTTGGACTTTGCTCTAAAGCCAGAAATGTACTAGTCAGCTTTTCTTCGTAAATGGAGGATCGAAAGCAGCTGAGGCTACTAACTATTGACCATTGGAGAGCGAGGGAGTTTCTTTTTATTTCGCTAGTCCTCTTTGCGCTATTTGGAATGAGGAAATTAGTGAGTAAAAGAAGCTAATATTGACCTTGTGACATTCTTGAGGAAAAGGTGGAAAATAAAGAGGGAAATAAATGTGACTTCAATTGCGCGCTTCTCTTATAGACTCGACTCAGTCGTCAAATGTGGTGATTGGTTTGAAAGAACAGTAAAGAAGCCAGAGCTACTATAAGAAAGATGCCGCGTTTTAAAGTTTTAAGAACTATCTGCGACGTTATTAGTTAGATTCTTCTTTTTCATCCTATCCAATGGACTCTTTGAAGTTATCTTTGCCAATCGAGAACAAAGTCATTTTAAATTCGATTTACGAGTACTACAACAACTTTCAATTTGAAGAAATTTTGGAATTAGACGGTACATGGTGCAAATTAATGATAGGCTTCATTTACGGAGACTATCGACTAGGTCCTGGGACAATTTCTCTAACATGTTTTCACATTAGTGTTAATTAGAGTAACATGCTTTTAGCAACCAATACCCGAGATATAACTTTTTAGTCTTTGTAGCGAATCCCATAGTGGATTCGCCATTGAAAACTTGAAAGAGAAATTTAAAGAAAGAGAAAAGAAATTAAAAGATAAAAATTCTGATTTTCATTCAACATAAGTTCTACAATGAGTCTAACAGAGTATAAAAGCAAGAACTACCTAGTGGGGTAACTAAAGAAAATAACATAAAAAGTAGGACTAAACTATAAATACTGAAACTTCATCCTGACTTGGTACTTCTTTAATACTTTGACAACAATGTACTACTTTGGGAGCTCAAGGTACCACCATTTCGTTACATTCCATCCCCCTTATAGCAACCTTGTCCTCAAGGTTGGAATTTGGTAACAGTGTGAAACCTCGTCTTCAACCCATGTAAAATCATCATCTGCTTCAAAATTTTTGTCAAGTTATCAAAAGCTAGAAACACCAGTAGAAAGCCTTGGCCTAGTATCCTCATGTCCTTGTTACTATACATGCAACATATGGCCAAACAAACTTTTCTCATCAACTTCTTATTCTTATCACTAAGGACCTTCTCATGAATATTTTTACCCAAATAATCATAAAAATCTATCAACCTTTGAACCTGACTTATAGCTTTTCCAACAGCTTCACTAATTTTTCATATACTTTCTTTTCCAACCTCCTTAAAGGACAAAAGTGTTTCACCGGTAAAATGCTTGCGAAAAACAATTGCGAATTCTTGCTCATGAAAGATCACTCTACTGTAAAAATCTTCCATAGCATATTTTACTCCAATTTGGACATAATCATAATGAGATCTATCATGTGTGCCCTGTGAATATCTCGAAATCGACAAAAATATGGTAAAAACAGTGGAGTAGTTAATACTCTAATAATGAACTCTACAAGAATCATCACTCCCTTCACTTCCTTAACCACTGCACCTGTCATATGTTGAAGTATGAACAACAGTATAAATCTTCTAACAACATTCACTATTCCAGTAATTGTGCTACCAAAAGGATAAAACCCCAATGTAGTTTCATTTCTCCTCTCAACAAGACCATAAGTAGAGGAGGTAGCCACACCCGTGTCATTATTTGCCACGAAGATCTTCTCTGATGCCTTCCACGTTCCATTAAGCGATACCAAATGAAACCTAGGGGTGTTCATGGTTCGGTTTGGATCGGTTTTTCCCTTAAAAGAAACCAAACCAAGTAAGTCGGTTTTTCAAATATTAGAACCAAACCAAACCAATTAAGTCGGTTTTTTCTCGATTCAGTTTATGTTGGATTTTGTCGGTTTTTCGATTTTTTCGGTTATTTGTCGGTTTTTTCTTAAATATAAGACATACACTACCAAACACATATTTCGGCGACCATATTTTCAACGTAACACTATCAAATCAATTGCCCTTTGAGAAATCTATTATTTACCAAGATATATTGATGAAATTGAATCAAATAGTGATGAATAATTTAAGGACTCAATTAAAAATATATTATTTTTAACACGAAATGGATTCTTACACTTAACAAAAAAAACTACCAATCAAACTAGAATATAAAGGTAGTGAACTATACTAAAAGTACAATCTATTAACATTTACCATCAAATTTTTGAAACTTTGTATAAAAATATACATATATATA